GCCAGTGGCTTGGTCGAGACAAAGAGTTGAAGAGGCTTGTGGTTGAAACTACTGCCAACCAGGTATAGTATCCCTTCCACCACAAAATTCGTCACAAATATTAATTTTTCTAGTAGTGTGGTGAGGCTACTTGGGAGGTGGAGCAACAGTGCAGGGAAAGGTATCCGTTTCTTTTCCCAAGTAAGTCTGTTTTCGGGGACGAAAACTCCTGTTGTTGGGGAGGTTCTGAGACCCTCGTACGAATTTTCTTTTCCCCAACCCTCTTCCTCTCTAAACTCTCACTCTCTCATTTCTCTTGTCTCACTCTCAACTTTCCCTTTTCCCTTGGACCTTTCTCTTGTTGTTACAAGGTAGTGGAGCTGAGTGAAGTGGGTTGCTAGCTGGTGTTGAATCTCTTTCTTCTTCTCTCCCGTCCGTTCAAGCTCATTTCATCTTCTTCTCGTTTCTCCTTTTTTCGGAAGCTAGGATTTCTTGATTCGAGGTAAGGGAAGCTAGGTCTCGCTGATCTTTGGCTGAAAATGTGTTTTAGAACTCTCTTGTTGGCTGGTGTTGGTGATTCTTGGTTGAGATGGCTGAAAATAGAACTTTGGGGGAGGTTTTGGGTTTTGAAGGGGTTTGGGTTTTAAAGGAAATTTGGGGATTTTTGATGATTAGTGGTTGCATGTTAAAAATGAGGCATTTTTATTGTAGTTTGATGAAAATGGGAACTTTTGGCTGGATTGCATGTGTATTTTCTATTAAGTTTTGCAGGTTTTGGGTCATTTTCGAAACTTGGAGGAGTTGCTGCTGTTCTTCGCGCTGGGCGCTGTTCTTCGCGCCGGGCGCGTGACCACCAGGAGGCTCTGTTTAGGCAAGCCGTAGGGCGCAAAGGTGTGTGCGTCGGGCGAGCTTGAGAATGGGAGCCTCTAGTTGGCCCTCGTCGGGCGGGACTTGAGCTGCGCCGGGCGCGATATCAACGGTGACCTATTTTGGATGTCCTGGTACTGCGCTAGGTGCGTGTTTGGACCCGCTGGGCGTGAGACTCCTTGGGAGTCTCTGCCAGGAGGGCGCTGGGCGCAATTCAAATTGCGTTGGGCGCAATTCAAATTGCGCTGGGCGCGAGATCAAGGGGAGGTCTCTGCCTTCCCCACGCTGGGTGCGGGCCTAGGCACGCTGAGCGCGTGAGACTCCACGGAGTCTCTGCCTGGAAAGCGCTGGGCGCAATTCTAAATATCGCCAGGCGCGTGAGGGGGTCACGCCGGGCGTGAGAAGTCTTGCGCTGGGCGCGCTGGTCCCTGGTGCCCTCTAGATGTGCCTCGCCGGGCGCAGCCATGGGTGCGCCGGGCGCGCTTGAGGATGTTGAATTGATGGGCTATTAGCTGTTAAATTTTGCTGAAATTGCTGAGAGAGGTTGTTTTATGCTGAACTAAGCTGTGATAGATGTATAATGTTGTGCTGAGCTAGGCTGTTATTGATGATTTTAAAATGTTGTATTATAATTGATGAATATTGCTGTGCTATAGAATGATGAGCTGAGTTGTGAGTAGTAGGCTGTGTTAAATACTACTAACCGTGCTGCATGCTGATTTGCTGTGCTGTGCCGTGAATTGCTGAGTTGTATGTTGTGTTTGGCCACTATGGTGGTGCTGTTATAGCCGCTAAGTCGGTGCTGTTATTACCGCTAAGCAGTGCTGTTATAGCCACTTAAGTGGTGCTGTTATAGTCGCTAAGTCGGTGCTGATATTGCCGTTAAGCAGTGCTGATATTGCTGAATTGCTGTGGTGAAGTATAAGCTGTGTGGATGAGCTGATAGCCGTAGCTGTTTTCTATCATATTGCTATATATGTATGTTGATTTCTTTACACTAGCTTACCCTTTGTTGTTTCCATGATATTTGGACTGTGATGATCATACTATGTATAGGAGCAGATCAGGGATAGGTTGATGGCTGATGGTGAGTCTGTAGCAGGCAGACGGAGCTGATCCTTTAGATCTTTTGTTGTTTAGCTACCCAGTAGTGTAGCCTTTGATGTATTTTGTACACTTTAACTCTATCCAGACTTGGATCATGTGTATGTATATATTCTAGACCCTATATGTATACACTTGTTCCTTTCTGTGTGGTGTTTCTAGTGTGCTGTGCCGTGTGTAGTGACTAGCCGGGTCGTTACGGTAGTATTGTAATTATTATTGACATAAAAAGTTCTTGCATATAAAGGAAATCAATACCGAAATTTTTTTCTAAATAAATCATAAAATGTGAGCTTAGAATGTCATTCCAACCCATTAGAGTTCCAGTAAGGAACCGAATGAATGCTATGATGATTTATAGAGGTCTCAAAGTGAGTTCCGATGTTTTAATCTAATCCTTGTACATTGTTTTTATTCATCTGCCTACAGAAGAGTAATTAGGAAGAGTGGATATTCTTTGTAAAATATCATTCCATTTTACATCGTCATAGAGAGGAAAGGTGTTGCAGTGGGGGTTAGATTATTTTTTTTCTCTGTTGCATTTATTCCTTTGATTTCTCCCTATTTCGAATTTACTATTTTAGTCTATTTATAATTAAAATTTAGGTTTAAATGCATTTTTTTTTCATCAAGTATAATAATTTAAATTTAATCTCTTTAATTTTAATTAAACAATTTTAGTTCTTCAAGTATACTAGTTGTGTAATTTTGATTTTTTAATTTTTAATTGAGCAATTTTAATCTCTCAATGATAAATTATATATAAAAAATACTATATTTAAATATATAAATTATATTTAAAACTTATACAAATAAATATTTTTAAATATATAAATTATACTTTAGACTTATGATCGATAATTTATATTGTGATAGAAGATTATTTTAATTATTGATAATTTATTTTAAATTAATTTATAAATAAATATGATAATTGAAAATTGAATTAGATATGAAGTTAAAAAATTTCTAACAATTGTCTCGGTGAAAAAAAAAAAAAGATGCCTAAAAGTGAATCATATCTTATACTAGGGCATATAGGTATTACTCCTTTCATTTAGAAGCTATCCAAACAATTTTAGTTTAGATGATTTTGATTTATTATTTTAATATGAAGAGGTTAATTGTCATCCTTTTAATTTGTTAATTAAATAAAAAATCATTATTAACATAATTTTTAAGATATTTATTACAAAATTGATAAAGTCACTATAATTAAATTAAATAAATTTATATGGTTGGCACATAAATTATTTATTTTAGATTTAAATATATTATTAGTCTCTCGAGTATTATAATTATGCGATTTTGATCCAGCACATTTTAATTAAGTGAATTAAGTTTTCAAGTATATAAATTATACAATTTTAGTGTCTAATCTTTTGTTAAAATTATAATAATTTTGTTGATATGACA